ACGACGACGAGCTGCTGCTGCTGCTGCTGCTGCTGCTGCTGCTGCTGCTGCTGCTGCTGCTGCTGCTGCTGCTGCTGCTGCAGCTGCAGCTGCCAAGCAGCTGACGAACTACAGGCAGCAACAGCTGCAGCAGCAGCTGCAGCGCGAAGCTGCAGCAGTATTTGCCGCCAGCAGGACTTAGCTAGCTGCCTAGCCAAGTAGCCTTCACAGCTAGCTAGCCAGCTAGTTAGCCGTGCATGCCGCTAAGCGCATCTAGCTAGCTAGCTAGCTAGCTAGCTAGCTAGCTAGCTCCCATAGGCGGCAAGTGAGGTCAGCTAGCCAGCTACCTAGATAGCCAGCTAGCTATATAAGTGGCCAACCGTACAGCTAGCTAGCTAGCTGGTAGCTAGCCAGCTAGCTAGCTATCCAGCTAGCTATCCAGCTAGCTATCTAGCTAGCTCCCTACTTATTTATCTAGCTATTTATCTAGCTCGCTATTTGTCTAGATGGCTATTTATCCACCCTGCTATCCATCTATCTAGCTAGCTAGCCATGTAGCTAGCTAGCCATCTAGCCAGCTAGCTAGATAGTTGCCCATCTAGCTAGTATTCTACCCAGCTAGCTAGCTAGCTATCTATGTAGCTGGCTATTCAGCTATCTATCGGTCTAACTAGCTAGCTACCTAGCTAGCTAGCTGCCTGACTGGCTGTGTACCTTTCCAACTAGCTGGCTAGCTAGCCTGCTAGCTAGCTAGCTAGCTAGCCAGCAATCTACCCAGCTGGCTACTTACCTCTCTAGATAGCTAGCTAGCTAGCTAGCTACCTCTCTAGCTAGCCTTCTACCTAGTTACCCCTCTGGATCGCTCGCTCGCTCGCCAGCTAGCTAGCTACCTAGCTAGCTAGCTAGCCAGCTAGCTAGCTATCCACCTAGCTAGCTATCCACCTGGCTAGCTATCTCCCTCTCTAGCTAGCTATCCTCCTAGCTAGCTTTCTCCCTCTCTAGCTAGCTAGCTAGCCAGCTACTAGATAAATATCTAGCTCCAGCTAGCTAGTTAGCTAGCTAGCCAGCTAGCTAGCTAGCTACCAGATAAATATCCAACTCCAGCTAGCTAGCTAGCTAGCTAGCTACTAGATGAATATCTAACTCCAGCTAGCTAGCTAGCTAGCTACTAGATAAATATCTAACTCCAGCTAGCTAGCTAGCTAGCTAGCTAGCTAGCTAGCTGGAAGTCTACTGCAGCTAGCTGCGGGCTTGGACGCGTCTGTACACCCGAGGAGCCAAAGGCCACTTTTAAAAAGTTGAATTGAGTTTTGTTTTTTGGAAATAATGAAATAATGAAATAATAAATAAATAAATAAATAATAAATAAATAATAATAAATAAATAATAAATAAATAATAAATAAATGTCTTTTTGCGCTTTTCGCCTCAACATAAAAGCTTCTGCAGTGTACATACAGCCCAACAGCAGCCACATTTCCGCCAATTGCTGCAGCCACAAAAGTCTTTCATTGGGGGCCCCCCTGGGGGCCCCTCGAACTCAGCAGTACCCTTTCAGGGGCCCCTGGGGGCCCCCTGGGGGCCCCACTAGGGGCCCCCTGGGGGCCCCACTGGGGGGCCCCTGGGGGCCCCCACTAGGGGGCCCCCCAGGGGGGCCCCTCAGGGGAAGGGGCCCCTCGGGCCGCCGAGAGGGCCCCCTGAAGGGGCCCACTAAGGGGCCCCCCAAGGGGGCCCCAGGGAGGGGGCCCCCCAAGGGGGCCCCAGGAGGGGGGCCCCCCAAGGGGGCCCCTCTAAGGGGGCCCCTCCAGGGGGCCCCCTTGGTGGGATTTGGGGGCCCCGGATGCACAAGGGGGCCCCTGCTGCGAAAATATATTAAGAGAAGGGGCCCCCTTACCCAGGGGCCTTTAAAGCTGGAAAGGGCGCAGCAGCAAAGCCCGTGGAGCTGCAGCAAATGGAGGCAGCTGCGCTGCTGCTGCTGCTGCTGCTGCTGCTGCTGCTGCTGCTGCTGCTGGTGCGCAGCAGTTGGAGCACCAGGAACAAATGGAGAAGAACAAATGGAAAAGAAGGATAAAAGGAGAAGAAGAATAAATGAGAAGAAGAATAAATGAAAATAAAAATAAATGAAAAGAAAAGAAATGAAATGAAAAGAAATGAAAGGAAATGGAGCTGCGCGGGAGCGCGAGGTGTACGTACACCCGAGCGGCGTTCAAATGCGGGCCGTCGGGTCGGCAGCAGCTCGTCGAGGGGGAAATCAAATAAAGAAAAGAGAAATAAAAAGAAAATAAAAGAAATAAAAAGAAAATAAAAGAAATAAAAAGAAATAAAAAGAAATAAAAGAAATAAAAGAAATAAAAGAAATAAAAGAAACAAAATAATTTGCAAAAGTGCTCAGTAGCCGAAGGCGGCGGGGTGTATGTACGGCAGCGCGGCGTGTTCGCCGCTGCCTCCGTTGTGCAGCTCCTGCTGCTGCTGCTGCTGCTGCTGCTGCTGCTGCTGCTGCTGCTGCTGCTGCTGGAGGCGCTGCAGCAGCAGCAAGTGCGCCGCATGCACAGCAGCAACAGGCCCCGAAATGCTCAGCTTTCTCTCCGTAGTTCCCGGCACAAAGTCCCCTTTGCTGCTAATTTGAATTCGAGCTCCACTTTGCTTCATTAATTCCGAAACACTTTTTCCGTTTTTGCCAATTAAAGCCCCAACTGCTGCTTCGGGTACTTGCAGTTGAATTTCGCACTGCAGCGCCAAAATTTCCCCGTTCGGGGGGCCCCCGAGGGGCCCCTGGGGGCCCCCGAGGGGCCCCTGGGGGCCCCCGGGGGGCCCCCCGGGGGCCCCCCCGTACCCTCCCAGCCCCAGCAGCCCCAGCGGCTGCCCGTAGCAGAGGGGGGCCCCCCCCAGGGGGCCCCCCAGGGGGGCCCCCAGGGGGGCCCCCAGGGGGGCCCCCAGGGGGGCCCCCAGGGGGGCCCCCAGGGGGCCCCCCGGCTTGTACACCACGTACATGTGGGCCTTGAGGCTGCTGTCGTGCTGCAGCGCAGCAGCAACAGCAGCAGCAGCAGCTTTGACCTCCTCCAGGTGTCCGTACACCGTAATGATCCTCTCAGAAAGCCCTTCTTCTCTGTTGGAGATCTGCACTTTTGCTTTTGTTGCTTCTTGGAGTTCTTTTATTTGCTGCCCGCCTTTGCCAATGACAGCAGCAACAGCAGTCTTCGGGGCCACGATCTTGAAGGCGAACTTCGCTGCTGCTGCTGCTGCTGCTGCTGCAGCAGCAGCGGCGTCGGGCTCCTTCTTGCCCTCCTGCTGCTGCTGCTGCTGCTGCTGCTGCTGCTGCTGCTGCTGCTGCTGCTGCTGCTCGGCCACTTTGTCCAGGATCACGGAGAGGGCCTGCTGCAGCGCGTGCTGCTCGCCACTCATGATCAAAACCCTTTCTTCTGTTGCAGGATAATAACAGTTTGCTGGAGACAACTTAATTGCTGCTGCAGTTTGCTGCTCCAGCTGCGCAATTGCTGCTCCGTTCTTGCCAATGACAGCTCCTGCTGCAGCGTTGGAGACCAGGGCCTTCAGGTAGCAGGGCCCCTGGAAGGGCACGCGTTTGGGGGGGCTTCCGGGCTCCATTTCAAACCCTAAACCCTATTTTAGGGTTTGCTGCTGCTGCTGCTGCTGCTGCGGAGGCGCCTGCTGCGCCTGCTGCGCCCGACCCCGCGAAGACAAACACAGACAGGCGCCACCAACTCGCTTCCTGTCCTCTCCCCCCAGCAGCAGCAGCAGCAGCAGCAGCAGCAGCGGCAGCAGCAGCAGCAGCAGCAGCAGCAGCAGCAGCGGCGGCGGCGGCGGCGGCGGCGGCGCAACTGCAGCAGCCGCGCAGCCAGAGAGGAGATGTCCCGGGAAATCGGAACTTTGGAGTTAAATTGAGTTTTTGGAAAACAAAAACAGAAAATTAAAATAAAAAATAAAAAGAATTAAATAAAATAAAAAGAAGTGGCAGCAAAGAGAGAAGAAGGAGAGGACTCGGGCGGTGTGCTGTGAGGCGGGGAAGGCGAGGCGAAATGCAGGTGGAAACCGCGCAGGCTAACGACAAACCCTAAACCCTAAACCCTAAACCCTAAACCCTAAACCCTTCTTGCAATACAAAAAAGAAATACATAACGCAAACCGTGTGCTGCTGCTGCTACGAAGCACGACGGCCGATGCTCCGCCGCTGCCGCTGCTGCTGCTGCTGCTGCTGCTGCTGTCTACCTATCGAACTGCTGCTGCTGCTGCTGCGCTGTACGTACACCCCAGAACGCCCTTTTTGCAGTTTTAAACTCCCTCTTCAATTTAAAGGACTTCATTTATATTTATTTAATCTTTTTTTCCCTTTTTTTCCGCTTTTTTTCCCTTATCTCCCAACCACTTCTCCCCGCTGCCTCCTGGAGCCCCACGCGCTGTCGCTACACCCCAGCGCCGCTGCCGCCGCTGCTGCTCCTCTGCCCATCGGCGGCGCCCGCGACAGCTCCATTTACTTCTTTTTCTCTCTAATTTTTATTTAATTTAATTTAATTTAATTAATTTAATGCAATTTAATCACTAAATGCCTCTAATATTCAAAAACTGCAGCTCAAACACCCCCAATTCCAGCAAATTCCTCACACAACTCCCTAACATCTGCAGCCTAACTGCCTCAGGCTTAATTAGCCCCACCAGCTGCCCCACAAAAGCTACGGGGGGCCCCTGGGGGCCCCCAAGGGGCCCCCGGGAGTCCCCGGGGACCCCAGGGGCCCCACAGGGGCCCCTCTAGGCCTAGAGGCCCCCCTAGATGCAGGGGCCCCCTATAGGGGGGCCCCCAAGAAGCTGCGGGCCCTTAGAGGGGCCCCCCTAAGGCAGGGGCCCCTGAAATGGCGCCTTGGTACCTTCTGGGGGCCCCCCAGCTTTCTTAGAAGGGTGTGGGGCCCCACAGCAGCGGGGGGCCCCCGAGGTGACCCCAAGGGCCTTCTAGGGGGCCCCTGAGAGTTACTTAGAAGCCTCCTACGGGGCCCTCCGGGGGCCCCTAAGCAGCAGCTAGAAAGCACTTTAAAGGGCCCCTGGGGGCCCCCTGAGGGGCCCCCAAGTACCCCCTAGAATGGCCCTTGAGGGGCCCCAGGGGGCCCCCAAGGGTTCTTTTAATTAACCTCTAGAAGGGCCTTTTGGGGTTCATTTAAGGGGCATCTCAGTTAGCCCTAAGGGACCTTTTGAGGGGCCCCTGGGGGCCCCCGGGGGGCCCCCAATTAGCAGCAAAGAGCCTTTTTAAACAACCCCTTGGGGGCCCCTAAGTAGGCTCTTGGGGGCCCCTGGGGGGCCCTTGGGGGCCCCTGAGGAGTTCCTTGGGGGCCCCTGGGGGGCCCCTGAGGGGCCCCACGGGGGCCCCTTGGGGTGAAGGTACCCTTTGATGGGGCCCCACGAGGGCCTTAAAGGGGCCCCCATTATGCCACTAAGGGGCCCTCATTAAGCCCTTAAAAAGTCCCCATGGGGGCCCCCAGCAAAACTTCATGGGGGCCCCCTAAGGGGGCCCCCATGAAGCCCCAAAGAGGCCCCAAGGGGGCCCTTTGGGGGGCCCCTGCAAGCTACTGAGAGGGGCCCCTAGGAGGCCCTCAGGGGGCCCCTAGGGGGCTTCTACAGAGCACTTCGGGGGCCCCTATGGGGCCCCTACGGGGGCCCCTGTGGGGCCCCTATGGGGCCCCTACGGGGGCCCCTGGGGGGCCCCCTGTTGGGCAATTTGGGGGCCCCCAGGAAGTGGGGGGCCCCATAAAGTGGGGGGCCCCCAAGAAATGGGGGCCCCCCATTTTATGGGGGCCCCCCAGTTATAGTTAAGGCTGAGTGCATGCGCTGGGAAACCCCAATTAGGCAGAGCCTAGAGCTTAGCCCAAAGAAGGGCAGCAGCAGCAGCAGCAGCAGCAGCAGCAGCAGCAGCAGCAGCAGCAGCGGCAGCAGAAGCAGCAAAAATTGCAGCGGCCGCGGCTGCAGCAGCAGCAGTAGAAATGGGAGCAGCAGCAGCTGAAGCAGCAGCAGCAGAAATGGTAGCAGCAGCGGCAGCAGCAGGAGCAGCAGCGGATATACGAGCAGCAGCAGCAGCACTGGAAACTCCAAACCCTAAACCCTAAACCCTAAACCCTAACCCTAAACCCTAAACCCTAAACCCTAACCCTAAACCCTAAACCCTACACCCTAGATGGTATAAAAAAGCGACTCAGGTATAAACTGCTGCCTAATTGCTTTTCCTGCTGAATAAATGCGAATCTAAACCCTAAACCCTAAACCCTAAAACAGAAACCCTAAACCCTAAACGTTTAACCCTAAACCCTTGCTTCTGCAAACCCGTCCTGGAAACCCTAGATCCAAAACCCTTAGGGTTTAGGGCTTCAGGGTTTATATAAACCCTCATTAGAAGTCCAAAACTTGTCCATTTGCTGCTGCCCGCTGTGGGGCCCTTGAGGTGTACGTACACCGCAAAAGGAGCTAGGGTTTAGGGTTTAGGGTTTAGGGTTTAGCGAAGACTTGAATTAAACTTTTACTCTTCTTCTCCTTCTTCCTGTTCCTCGCGCACTTTGTAGTAGCCAATCTCCTGATGCCCCAACACACCAAACCCTAAACCCTAAACCCTAAACCCTAAACCCTAAACCCTAAACCCTAAACCCTAAACCCTAGCAGTGAACAGGGCGCGTCGCGGGGGAGAGTCGGAAACTCTCGAGGGTTTAGGGTTTGCAGTGAGGGTTTCGGTCTTCAGAAGCAGCTAAGCACAGCCCTAAGGCTAACCTGGGGTTTAGGGTTTAGGTAAGTTTAGGGTTTAGCGAGGGTTTAGGGTTTAGCGAGGGTCTAGGGTTTAGCGAGGGTTTGTGGTTTGGCTAGGGTCTGGGGTTTAGCTCAAGTTTAGCGTTTCGCCTGCTTTAGGCTTTAGGCAGGGTTTAGGGTTTAGGTAGGGTTTAGGGTTTAGGCAGGGTTTAGGGTTTAGGTAGGGTTTAGGGTTTAGGTAGGGTTTAGGGTTTAGGGTTTGTGTCTTGCCTTGAAGTATTTCTCGCGAGCCGCATGACTCCTCTGTTCATAAGTGGGGTCATCAACAGTGTACCTGCGCAAACCCCAAACCCCAAACCCCAAACCCTAAACCCTAAACCCTAAACCCTAAACCCTAAACGGCGAGTTGGTGCGCGGGCCTTCTGCAGTTGGGGTTTTTACCCGCGCGGCGTTTGCGGGCGCCCGCCCCCCGAGCGGCGCCGCAGCCCGGAACTAGGGTTTAGGGTTTAGGGTTTAGGGTTTAGGGTTTAGGGTTTAGGGTTTACTTGTGGGGCTGGCAGAGGGCCAGGGGAAAGCGCGCGAAGTGGAAGTGCCGCTCCGGGCGAAGGCCCCACGGATGAGGGCCTTGGAAGTCATGTTCATTATCGACCCAAGAGTTTGCAAATCCAATGGAGAAGTTTCTGCATTTAAAGTTCATAAACCCTGCTGCTGCTGCTGCTGCTGCTGCTGCTGCTGCTGCTGCTGCTGCTGCTGCTGCTGCGGCGGCGGCGGCGGCCGCGGCGGCGGTGGCTGCGGCGGTCGCGGCT